ACTGCTTTCCACAATGGTTGAACTAATTTACATTCCCACCAGCAGTGTAGGAGGGTTCCCCTTTCTCCACAGCCTCGCCAACATTTGTTGTTGTTTGTCTTTTGGATGGCAGCTATCCTTACTGGTGTGAGGTGATACCTCATTGTAGTTTTAATTTGCATTTCTCTGATAATTAGCGATGTGGAGCATCTTTTCATGTGTCTCTTGGCCATCTGTATTTCTTTTTTGGAGAACTGTCTGTTCAGTTCCTCTGCCCATTTTTTAATTGGGTTATTTGTTTTTTGTTTGTTGAGGCGTGTGAGCTCTTTATATATTCTGGACGTCAAGCCTTTATCGGATCTGTCATTTTCAAATATATTCTCCCATACTGTAGGGTTCCTTTTTGTTCTATTGATGGTGTCTTTCGCTGTACAGAAGCTTTTCAGCTTAATGTAGTCCCACTTGCTCATTTTTGCTGTTGTTTTCCTTGCCCGGGGAGATATGTTCAAGAAGAGGTCACTCATGTTTATGTCTAAGAGGTTTTTGCCTATGTTTTTTTCCAAGAGTTTAATGGTTTCATGACTTACATTCAGGTCTTTGATCCATTTTGAGTTTACCTTTGTATATGGGGTTAGACAATGGTCCAGTTTCATTCTCCTACATGTAGCTGTCCAGTTTTGCCAGCACCATCTGTTGAAGAGACTGTCATTTTACCATTGTATGTCCATGGCTCCTTTATCAAATATTAATTGACCATATATGTTTGGGTTAATGTCTGGAGTCTCTAATCTGTTCCACTGGTCTGTGGCTCTGTTCTTGTGCCAGTACCAAATTGTCTTGATTACTATGGCTTTGTAGTAGAGCTTGAAGTTGGGGAGTGAGATCCCCCCTACTTTATTCTTCTTTCTCAGGATTGCTTCGGCTATTCGGGGTCTTTGGTGTTTCTATATGAATTTTTGAACTATTTGTTTCAGTTCGTTGAAGAAGTTGCTGGTAATTTGATAGGGATTGCATCAAATCTGTATATTGAGGCAGGATGGCCATTTTGGCGCTATTAATTCTTCCTAGCCATGAGTATGGGATGAGTTTCCATTTGTTAGTGTCTCTTTCTTCTTTTTTTTAACAGTAAAACTCAATTGAATTACAGCTATCACTTGGATTCGCATTTTTAGATTGATTGTGCTTATGATTTGGATGCTGAAGGTGGAATTACTCAGAGTCATTAGAGGTCATTAGCGAGAACACAGAAATGAAAATGACAAGAGTCATAACCTTGGCTTTACTATTAAATACATTTGGTTCTGTGGGTAGTTTCTCTTCTGTAAAAATGTCAGATTCATAAATACATATAAACATCAATTTAGACATGTGGGACATGTGGGAAATTAGATACAAAAAAGGATAAAGTACCATGCAACTATTATTGCAAATCTTTTTTTCTAAGCTATTTGAAGCCAGGGATTTTAGTTGGCTCTTACTAAATTAATTTGGAGAGCCATGTGCACAGTGGGAATTCAATAAATCTGTGGCCAATTTGACAACAAGTTTTATCTTTCAAGACTCACCATGAGATTCTTTAAACTTCCAAATATGGATAAGGTAAAATCAGCTTACCTCAACAATGAGAACATTCTGAAAGAAAAACAAACAAAACCAGGGAACAGGAAACCCGTTATTTAGAGTATGATGCAAATCTGGCTCACAGGATAAATACACATTTTGCTTACAGTTAGACTGTCAGGTCTTTCCCTATGCATCTAACTCAATGCTTGGAGGTAATCTAGGTATTCCAGATTCATTTTAACAGTCTCTCTGGAATTACTTGGAGCCACAATATTGGTATCTATATTCAGGTTAGGAGCAGGCTTCTCTTCTATCCTTAACCTGCCTGGAGAGTTATCCATAAGGTCATCCTACCTCCATAATTCCGGCAAGTGCCCCTACCCAGCATTCTTTGGGATACAAAGCTTACTAAGAGTTTACCAGGAAACATAGCCAACATAAACTGCATCACTAATGGTGAGAGAGCTCTGCAGAAGGATCATGTTCTGAGCTGGGACAGCCCTATTTGGATGTAGCCATCCAAATCACTGAGGATTCTGTATTTATTCTTGGATTTTCAACCCTGAGGAAGGGGGTGGGCTGGAGAGAGGGCTGTGAGGCACCTGGTTTCTACTGTCAGTGACACTGGTATGTCCCTTGTTATGTGGTCTCCAAGCATTACTCTCTTTCTAGGAATGCTCATGACACTTCATTTAAATTTCTTGTTTACCTGTCTTCCCTACCAGACTATAAACTCCATGAAGATGGTAATCATGTTTTTCGGGCTTACGTCTGTATTCTCAGTCCCTAGCATAAAGACCTACATAGAGATGCCCAGTATTTGTTGTGTATTTGTTGATTGAAGAACAATAGTGTCCCACCAAATTAAAATATGCCTGTATCAATAAGCCATTGCAATTAACTAAGTGGTATAGACAACCCTCAATCTAATGGGAAAAAGTATTTCTTGAGATGAGTTTTTATTTATCCCTATGATTCATATAATATTTTTAAAATTCTATCAAATCTTACATCTTAGGTATCATGTCTTATGCAAAAGAGATTTAAGTAATAAAAATGTTAACCAACCAACCAAAAAACTCTGTTAAGTATGTTCCATTTACTTTATGTGTCAAATGCATTCTTAGATGGAAATCTCTTTCTGGCAGTGTCTTCCCATCAGGTATGGTATTTTTACTCATTGAATCCATTTAAAAATCTTAATTTTATCATTAAAATATAAGATTATGTTGTCCATTTTTAAAGTAGGTCATGTCTGCAGGATCCCCTACCCTGAGAAACATGCTGACAGTAGTCACCTTAGTAATCTGAACATGTTTGCTATGTTCTTAACCATCAGCCCACAATAGTTAGTTCGGATGTGCATTTTTAGTTTGATCGAGGCATACCAACCATGTCTATTAACCAACCAAAATACTCAGAGAATACTTGGTTAATATAATGTCCTACTTCACAATCTCTTTCTGTTTCAATTTTATAATGACAAATATTTTTAAATTCTGTCACTTTGCATTCTTAGCTAATTAAGTGAGTGCACTGAATGTAATTAAATCTGTTTTTTGCAAGTTCAGAAGCTTGCAAAACAAAAGTTACCGTTAGAAAGATTAGTTTTCATGATGAGATATAGTGGTAGCTTCGAAGTGGGATTTGGATGTGTATTAATCCAGGGATATACTGTCAAAGTTAAACACATTTTAAAATCAAAGTAATGCATATACATGCTTAAAATCAAATAGAAAAGTCTAAAGATTCTCTAAATATTGATGCATCTATTTAAAATATTTAAAAATGCTCAAGTACTTTATATTAAAGTCATCATAGCATTCTACACCATACATAATCAAAATATTATCACATCTAACAAAAATAATAGTAGTTTATTCTATTTTTTCATTTTGTCCAGTTTTATTGAGATATAATTGATACATACCACTGTATAAATTTAAGATGTACAGTATAGTGTTTAGACTTGTATATATTGTGAAATGATTACTGTAGCAAGTCTAGTTAGCTTCCATCATCTCATATAGATCCACTAGAAAGAAAAAGCCAGGGGAAAAAAATTTTCTCCCTTGTGATGAGAGTTCTTAAGATTTATTCTCCTAACAACTTTCTGCTACAACACACAGCAGTGTTAACTATAGTCCTCATGCTGTACATTGTATTTCTGGTACTTATTTATCTTACAACTGGAAATTTGTACCTTTTGAGCACCTCCTTCTAATTCCTCTGCCCCTCCCCCTGTCTCTGGTAACCACAAATTTGATCTCCTTTTCTAGGAGTTTGGTTTCTGTTTTGTTTTGTCTTCGATTCCACATATAAGTGAGATCATCCAGTATTTGTCTTTCTCTGCCTGACTTACTGCACTTGGCAATAAGGTCTACCTGTGTTGTCATAAATAGCAGCATTTACTCAATTTTTATGGCTAAATAATATCCCATTATATATATATACACACACACATACCACTTCTTTATCTGACAATAATTTTCTAATATCACATTAAAACTTCAGAGTCATTAGAGGTCATTAGCGAGAACACAGAAATGAAAATGACAAGAGTCATAACCTTGGCTTTACTATTAAATACATTTGGTTCTGTGGGTAGTTTCTCTTCTGTAAAAATGTCAGATTCATAAATACATATAAGCATCAATTTAGACATGTGGGACATGTGGGAAATTAGATACAAAAAAGGATAAAGTACCATGCAACTATTATTGCAAATCTTTTTTTCTAAGCTATTTGAAGCCAGGGATTTTAGTTGGCTCTTACTAAATTAATTTGGAGAGCCATGTGCACAGTGGGAATTCAATAAATCTGTGGCCAATTTGACAACAAGTTTTATCTTTCAAGACTCACCATGAGATTCTTTAAACTTCCAAATATGGATAAGGTAAAATCAGCTTACCTCAACAATGAGAACATTCTGAAAGAAAAACAAACAAAACCAGGGAACAGGAAACCCGTTATTTAGAGTATGATGCAAATCTGGCTCACAGGATAAATACACATTTTGCTTACAGTTAGACTGTCAGGTCTTTCCCTATGCATCTAACTCAATGCTTGGAGGTAATCTAGGTATTCCAGATTCATTTTAACAGTCTCTCTGGAATTACTTGGAGCCACAATATTGGTATCTATATTCAGGTTAGGAGCAGGCTTCTCTTCTATCCTTAACCTGCCTGGAGAGTTATCCATAAGGTCATCCTACCTCCATAATTCCGGCAAGTGCCCCTACCCAGCATTCTTTGGGATACAAAGCTTACTAAGAGTTTACCAGGAAACATAGCCAACATAAACTGCATCACTAATGGTGAGAGAGCTCTGCAGAAGGATCATGTTCTGAGCTGGGACAGCCCTATTTGGATGTAGCCATCCAAATCACTGAGGATTCTGTATTTATTCTTGGATTTTCAACCCTGAGGAAGGGGGTGGGCTGGAGAGAGGGCTGTGAGGCACCTGGTTTCTACTGTCAGTGACACTGGTATGTCCCTTGTTATGTGGTCTCCAAGCATTACTCTCTTCTAGGAATGCTCATGACACTTCATTTAAATTTCTTGTTTACCTGTCTTCCCTACCAGACTATAAACTCCATGAAGATGGTAATCATGTTTTTCGGGCTTACGTCTGTATTCTCAGTCCCTAGCATAAAGACCTACATAGAGATGCCCAGTATTTGTTGTGTATTTGTTGATTGAAGAACAATAGTGTCCCACCAAATTAAAATATGCCTGTATCAATAAGCCATTGCAATTAACTAAGTGGTATAGACAACCCTCAATCTAATGGGAAAAAGTCTTTCTTGAGATGAGTTTTTATTTATCCCTATGATTCATATAATATTTTTAAAATTCTATCAAATCTTACATCTTAGGTATCATGTCTTATGCAAAAGAGATTTAAGTAATAAAAATGTTAACCAACCAACCAAAAAACTCTGTTAAGTATGTTCCATTTACTTTATGTGTCAAATGCATTCTTAGATGGAAATCTCTTTCTGGCAGTGTCTTCCCATCAGGTATGGTATTTTTACTCATTGAATCCATTTAAAAATCTTAATTTTATCATTAAAATATAAGATTATGTTGTCCATTTTTAAAGTAGGTCATGTCTGCAGGATCCCCTACCCTGAGAAACATGCTGACAGTAGTCACCTTAGTAATCTGAACATGTTTGCTATGTTCTTAACCATCAGCCCACAATAGTTAGTTCGGATGTGCATTTTTAGTTTGATCGAGGCATACCAACCATGTCTATTAACCAACCAAAATACTCAGAGAATACTTGGTTAATATAATGTCCTACTTCACAATCTCTTTCTGTTTCAATTTTATGACGACAAATATTTTTAAATTCTGTCACTTTGCATTCTTAGCTAATTAAGTGAGTGCACTGAATGTAATTAAATCTGTTTTTTGCAAGTTCAGAAGCTTGCAAAACAAAAGTTACCGTTAGAAAGATTAGTTTTCATGATGAGATATAGTGGTAGCTTCGAAGTGGGATTTGGATGTGTATTAATCCAGGGATATACTGTCAAAGTTAAACACATTTTAAAATCAAAGTAATGCATATACATGCTTAAAATCAAATAGAAAAGTCTAAAGATTCTCTAAATATTGATGCATCTATTTAAAATATTTAAAAATGCTCAAGTACTTTATATTAAAGTCATCATAGCATTCTACACCATACATAATCAAAATATTATCACATCTAACAAAAATAATAGTAGTTTATTCTATTTTTTCATTTTGTCCAGTTTTATTGAGATATAATTGATACATACCACTGTATAAATTTAAGATGTACAGTATAGTGTTTAGACTTGTATATATTGTGAAATGATTACTGTAGCAAGTCTAGTTAGCTTCCATCATCTCATATAGATCCACTAGAAAGAAAAAGCCAGGGGAAAAAAATTTTCTCCCTTGTGATGAGAGTTCTTAAGATTTATTCTCCTAACAACTTTCTGCTACAACACACAGCAGTGTTAACTATAGTCCTCATGCTGTACATTGTATTTCTGGTACTTATTTATCTTACAACTGGAAATTTGTACCTTTTGAGCACCTCCTTCTAATTCCTCTGCCCCTCCCCCTGTCTCTGGTAACCACAAATTTGATCTCCTTTTCTAGGAGTTTGGTTTCTGTTTTGTTTTGTCTTCGATTCCACATATAAGTGAGATCATCCAGTATTTGTCTTTCTCTGCCTGACTTACTGCACTTGGCAATAAGGTCTACCTGTGTTGTCATAAATAGCAGCATTTACTCAATTTTTATGGCTAAATAATATCCCATTATATATATATACACACACACATACCACTTCTTTATCTGACAATAATTTTCTAATATCACATTAAAACTTAATACATATTTAGATTCCCCCAGTTGTCCTTAAAATGGCCTTTGTAGCTAGTTTGTCCAATCTAAGACCATGCATTAGATCTTTACTTCTCTTCATTTAGAATAGCCTCTTTTATTACATAACAGAATAGAACATAGTTCTCCTACACGATTTCAATCCCCTTTCCCACCTACCAATGTAGGTCCTTCGTTATGACTGTATCTTCTTGTACCATTTATTATTTTTCCCACTGAAGAGTCCATTAGTGTACTATAGCTAGATTGTCTTTTAGAGCTTGTTCGCTTGGCTTGGAATTCCTAATTGTTTTTCCAGTCACTGTCCAGTGACAATAACCCTTCTTTTTTGGAAAGATTATTATGAGGAAAACAATGGTTTAACTATATTTCTCAAAGGATTTTGGAGGACTAAGGAGGCTAAATGGGTTGGTAACATCTATAACAGCACAAAGATCTTTCTGAGGAATGTACAGTATTAGAAAGTAAAATTATTTAACAGTCTCATACATGACAGGCAAGGGAATACTGGCATAGGAAAACAGACTGCTATGAAAAGAGAAACATGCATAAGCCTAGAGCTTTGAGTGAGTTATATAGAGCAGTCATTACATATACATTTATTTTTCTTTACAGAACATCACACTGTGTTTTCAAATTCTTTCATTAGTAAGACATGGGTTGACTCTCTGGATTTTCAGTGGCTGACCTGTTGTGTGAAAAGCTCACCTCCAGCAAAAGCAGATGCCTTTAGTACCTCTGGAAGGCTGTCTCTGCCATGCAAAGCAAGATGGAGCCCAAAAGCAAAGAGAAAGTGACTACCCAACTTTGCAAGCATTCTCACTAGTGTCTAAGAGAGCTGATCTCTCTGCATTTTAATGTACCTTGCAAGCTAAGCAGCAAAGACAGGCTCATCTTTATAGGATCAGTATATAACATGGAGACTAGTAAATAATAGGTGCTCAAGAAATGCCCATAGGACACATCAATAATTTTGACCTCATCCTCTCCATTTTTAGCTTAACTATGTACAATGTACAATTCTTCCTTAACTGAGCTATAATTAATGTCTACTGCTTTTAATTTTGCATTAATAAATCTTCTAAAATTCCTTGCTTTGTTTTTGATTGGACAACTTCGGAAATTTTTTCAGAACACACTGTGCCTCCTAAATACTTCCAATCTGATAACTCAGATCACTGGATCTGAGAAGTTTGCTAGTTACTGTCTCAGCCATCTCATCACACCTAGCTCATTTCCGTCCAGAAAGCACATAAACTCTGCAGCCTGGGGGCTGCAGGCAAAGACTATGGGGAAATCTCTGGAGTGTGTTCTTTCTTGGCTAGTGTAGGATCCTGATGGAAGCCAATCACATCAAGTTTCCTAAAGAAAAAGAAAGGAAGGGAGAAAGAGAAGAGGAGAAAAAAGAGAGAATTATACATATCTTAAATAGGTTATTCCTGCTTTTAATGTTTAAAATGCAAAATGATTAGCACCCTACACTCCAACCTGCAGCAGCTTGGGTTTGTAGCTGTGTCCACACCAGCAGAGGGTGGCAGTAATGATGGGGAGAGCTGACTGTGGGTGCTGAGCACAGGGGCTGTGTGCATATAAACTCCTGTGGAGAAAGGAATGTATGTTAGCATTTCATTTTACAAGATAATTCACAAAATTGCCAGAATCATCAGTCAGTGGCCATTTCCATTGTTCTCAGCATAGTCAGATACAATAAAAAGGAATGATTTAAATAGTTGAGGCTGCTAAGGAGGAAATTTTGGCAATTTCTGATGTTTTATTCTGGCCTTTCATTAGAAACTTATTTGGTGGTGGAGTGGGGTTCGGGGAGGCATGTCTCCTGAAATCTTGCACTTAACCTGCACATCTGTGCTTTCCCATTGCCAGATTTGGACCTGTTTCTATGCATTGGGTGTTCTCCTACCCTTTCAGAGGTTTCTCTTGAACATGAATAAAATCTTCTTGCTTTAATGGATACACACATTTTATAAAGTGCCAGGATTAAATCAACTTTGAAAAAAAATTAGCCAGAGAGCACATTGTGCTGACAGCTTAAACACCCAGTATAATGCTTTTAACATTGGGAACCGAAGAGGCCATTTAACTTAATCATTGAGGGTTCCCTTTATTCGACAGCCATGACCTACTTAGAACCATGACTCAGGCAGCCTCTCTTGTGAGCTTCCTTTCCTTTGCTTTAGAAAGAAAAGAACAGAATGAAAGAACAAAAGACAAATGAAGGAACGAAAGAATGATGGAAAGAAAGAAGGAAGGAAAAGTAAAAAAGAAGCCAACAGGTGCAAGAGGGCTGTCCAGAGTGCCCCTTGGCTAAATATTCTAACTCACATGTCTTTGGAGGGGTCAAGGTTTACACAGCACCCTTACAGGGCTTACAATGCATGGAAATTACACAGCTGAGCTATTCTCCCGTGTTTTAAGGATGCTTTCATAAACAAATTTGATTTTTGAAAATCCCTTCTCCCCCTCCCTGCATTTAATCATTTAACCCTGTCACCCCCTCCTGTGGACAGTGCCCTGCCTTCCCTTTCACTCCCGCTTTTCGCTTTTCACTCTGCGGACGGACGGAGTTCAAGCACCCCTGCCAGCTCCACCTTCACCACCTCCAAACAGCTTCCTCTGCCTGGGGTCTCTCTCCTTTTCCTCAGTTAATTCTTCCCTCCTGTCAGATACATTTCCCCCAGATTTAGCTTCCTGACTTGTGTGACTCCCCTTTGCTTTTCTGAGCAAGTTCAACTCTTCATGGAGACATTCAGTGTATTCTGCAAACCAAATCCAATTCTCATGTTCAGTTTTTGAATTTTTCTGCTTCCCTGCTTTTGACTAATTTCCTTCAGCCACACTGGCCACTCCTGTCCCCTTGCCCCCCTGCTTCTCCTGCTTCTTCCCCATTCCACTCTGCTCTTCCTCTGTCTTCCATGTTATTCCCCGACCTTCGGGTTCCAAATAAAACCTCTTCCTTCTCTCTTAAGGCAATTACAGTCTCAAGAAATGTTTCCTTCTTTGGATGTCCTTAAACTCAAGGACAAAGTCTTCTGTAGAAAGACCTCTGGAGAGCTGCTCTGGGTGCCAAGTGTTAAAACAGAGAAGGTGCATTCAAGTTCATGGCAAGGTGATAATATAATGGTGCATGTAAGCTCGATGTAAATTTGTTGATTGAGAAATTGCATGATTATTATAGAAGAGAGAGGTTAGATGATGACCTTCAATGACCTTTCCATCCAATGCAGATATGTATTGCTACTTTGACTCTATTCTACAACCACTAATAATAGTATCCACTAATTGTTAGGTGCCTTTTCCTTTAAAGTTTTTTTTCTTTTTTTCCAACTAGTGTCCATTCTGCATGTTGGGAAGATTCTGGAGGGCATCTGAAGTGGAATTTTAACATTCTCTCAAACTTTTCATGGATTGTCTTTTTCAGAAAGGCTTAAGAAAGGGTGAATAGAGCAGGCCATATGAATGCCTTTATCTGTTTAAGGAAAAGGAAATTCCAAAGGTTAAGTAACAGTTTTTTCATTCCTCCACCTTCAGGTATGTGACATTCACCAATTCAGTTCCCCTTGAATGTCCTGTGACTTCAAAGCCCTCTGGCTTTCTACAGAGAGAATGCTCTGCCTCCTCACTCAACACCTTTCTTTTCCAACTCTAAACCAGACCAGTTGGGTGATATGTCCTTTGCTGTGACCAGGTGGGGTTCTATTTATCCTTTCCCTCTGCCATGTCCTCCTTTCCCAAATGTCACTAAAAACATCTTTCTGAATTTTCTCTAAGAGAAAGAGGAGCCTGCACTCACTCAGTTGCTAAGTACCCATTCCGAGCTGTCATGTGCTAAGCCCTGGGCATGATGCTAGGATAGGATGGAGTAGACAGGCACAGTTTCTGTATGCATCATAGTGACATTCTAGTGGGGAAATGGGCTGGGGAAAGAGAAGCCTCAAGGTAAACACTGCAGAGTGCAGAAAGGGCTCCAATGGACACACTGTACCGACATAGAGCTCAATGGGGAATGTGGGGAGTGCAGAGAGGAAGAACATGGGCTCATTTTGGACTGAGATGGTGAAGGCCTCCCTTATACAGGAGACTTGAGGCTGAGACCTGAAAGATAGGAGGGAAATGGATTCCAGGGAGAGGCCACAGCTTGTCCACAATCTTGGCAGGAAGGCGCTTAGCCCGCATGGTTCCGACACTGAAAGGAGGGCTGAGTGGTGCATGACTGTGTTGGGAGGAACCAGGGCCAGCTCACACAAGTCTTACAGGCTTAGATGAAGAAGTTGGATTGTAATCTCAGAGCACTGGGAATAGGGTTCCCAGGTAAAATACAGACTACCCTTTAAATTTGAATTTCAGATAAATAATAGATAACTTTATAGTTTAAGTATCTTCCAGATATCGCATGAGATGTACACCAAAAATTTATTCAGTGTTTATTTGAAATTCAAATTTGACTTGGCATTCTGTTTTTCATTTTGTGTTTTGCTAAGTCTGACTGCTTTAACTGAGAGGTCACTGAAAGGTTTTCAGCAGGCAAGCGATGGGATCCAATTTGTATTTTAAGAAGATTCCTTTGCTTGCTTCTTGGAGAATGGTTTGGAGGGTGGCAAAAGTTAAGTGAAGGCAGAAGTTGAGGGAGACTCATTAGACTATCATAGCAGCCCAGAGTTGGAATAATGGTGGCCTTGCCCTAGACTGGCCCTTCTCAAACTTTAATGTGCATAGGAATCATCTAGGGATCTTGTTAACAAGGAGACTTAATTTGGAAGATCTGTAGTGGGAACTGAGATACTGCCTTTCTAATAGGCTTCCATATGGTGCTGACCTTGCTGATACCTGGCCCAAAGGTCAGCAAAATATGGCTCATTGGCCATGTTGGCCTGCTGCCTATCGTTATAAGTCAAGTTTTATTATCTGCCTGCTGCCTTCATGCTATGATGGCAGAGTTAAGTAATTGCAACAGAGACTTTATGGCACACAAAATCTAAACATATTTACCATCTGACCTTTACCTAAGAAGTTTGCTGACCTCTGTCTAGACCACACTTTGAGTAACAAGGGTCTAGGCTGTGTTATTACCATGTCGCTGGAGAGAAGTAAGCACATTCAAGATATATTTGAAAGTGTAAAGTGTGGTCTACACGGGTTCAGGAAGCATTCCCTTCTGCTGTGAACCCAGGCACCCTGAACTTCAGAATCTTTAAACATAAGTTGTTCTAACAGTTGGGAACCTGGCTAATCAGTGTTGATTCATCTCGGAAATATTTGCCCAGTGTGTTCAAAGCCCAGTGGTTCTTCCTGGCACATGTGTATAGAAATGCATCTGTACACACACAGGGATATGAAGATACACAAAACAGCACCTGGTTAACCTGGATGATCATTTGTCAGGCCAGCAAAAGACTGAAGCCAACTCCTGGTTCGACTGCTGGATGGTTTTCCATCCTCCTACTTAATGTCCATGAGCTCTACTTTTACATGAAAGGTCTTTGCAGTCATTATAGGAGGGGATACTGAGGCACACTGCTGTCACTCCTTCTCATTCCACCCCCAGTAAGAAACTACCCTTTCCTCAACCTCCTCTCTGCCTCCTAAAGGAAGGCAACATCCAGTGGTCACCGAAGAGGGAAATCACTGTAAAGCAAAATATGGGATGACTTTAGAAGTCAGGAAAGAAGGACCACAATTTTATGTGCATATTTTTTCTTGGCATTCATTTAGGATTCTTAGAGTTGCCCTTTTGACAGACCCCATGGTAAAAGCAAAAAGTATGATATTTCTCTCATGTAATAAACCTGCAAAGCATCATCACACAAGAAAGTGCCAAAATGACAAATCAATTAAAGACACTCTGGGATTGTAAAAAGTTACGAATTTCTGGAAATTATTTTGAGTGTTTTAGCTTTCTAGGATGTTATTTCATTCACTAATGCAATAACATCACATAGTGGCTTAGTGATCCTTTAACATTAATAAGTTAATTCCCATTTCTAGGAACATAATTTAGTACTTGATAGCAACTGAACACTTGGATGCCATTAGGCCATCTTCAGAGTAGAGGGAAGCAGGCTGTTGGCAGTCAGATTTCTTATGGTCCTGTGGTGTCCTAAGGCTTTTGTCATATTTTCGTTAAAGTGGATGCTTTTCCTTTTCCACATCCGGACATTGCATGACAATCACAACCAAATATGAGACGCTGAGCTTGGGTAACAGTCTGATCCATTTTCCTTAGAAAGCTGAAGTTCGAGGGTAATGAATACAAGATATGCCAGTAGAGCTGTTGTTGCTTTCATTACAGCAAAGCTTGTATTCCAGGTCACATTTCCACAAAGGCCAGCTGCTTTATGAAGTATCTCTTTCTTCCAATGTATGTATCAGAATCCAAACAATTTTTCACTTAATTATTGAGCATTGGTAGAGCCGGAACCTTCCAAGTTAAAACTGGAGGTGTTTGCCACATAAGTGAATGAATTACACTCTTTTTTCATGGAAGGGAGAAAAGACAAACTGTGCTCTCAAGAAATCCTTTTTTTTTTCCTCCCTAAAACTTAAACATTTCAATAAACCTGTTGAAATGCCTTACTGAAGTGCCTCGGCGCTGAGGCATAGAGGAGAGGCAAAAAGCAGACCAATAAAGGAAAAAGCTTCCTTTTCAGGAGGTACCTGAAAGAATAAGAAAAGGAAGAGAACAAGGAGTGCCAAGGGGTTTTGTAATGCAAGATTGTCTGAAATAATGATTTGGATGGAAGTTTGGAGAAGACAGATTTGGTCTGCCTCATGCCCTGGGAACATTATCAAAGGAGTGTTTTAGAAAGGAGAAATCAAATCATTGAAAGGATTCACACATCCATTTGCATTAATTAGCAAACCCGGGAGAGTGTCTGAAATGTATTGCAAGTGCTGACCTGAAATAAAGGTCACCAATTTCCCCATGACATCAGCACGCACTGAGCAGTTACATTAACAAACCTTTCCAGCCAGTGATGAGAGATCATCGCCTCCAATTATCTGCATCTCGCCCATGGAGTGGCCGTTCTAACAAAAAAAAAAAAAAAAAAGGAAGACTATATTTTACTGTACAAGAAAGCCTTTAAGCACATTTTCCCATCTACCCAGCTAGCGGCTGGACTGCGCCGCACAAATAGCTCCTACAGATTCATGGTTGCCCATGGTTACAGAGAACCACTCTGCGGCTTCTGTGCTTGAGACAAAGCATTCTAATGGCAGAGGGGAGAGGGGATGGAGGAGTGGAGAGAGGACAAACAAACCTAATTTGGGAACAAAAAACTCTGGAAGGTGCCTGAACCTATAATGAGGTGGATGGAATGGGAGACAGCAGTCCTACTCCTGCAGTTTCTCAGGGGGAGGGAGCCACAGGACCCCAGAGAGGGCCAAGTGTCAGCTGTGCCAACAAGCCCCTGCGGCGACCCTGCAGCGGGAACAACCAGAGCGGCGTTCCCAGAGATGAGTGGCCTCCTCTGCCCCCTACCCGCACAGGTCCAGTGCCTCATCTGGTGTCCAGGGCAGTTCTGACAGTCCATGGACCTACAGCTATTGCACATAGCCCTTCAGGTATGAACAACGAAGCCTCAGGAACTTTCTGCAGTTCCAGGATTATGAGACCGAGCACCATGTTTAGACACTTTTCCGCTCAGATCCCATGAGTGGTTATGACCTTTCACTTTCATGGTGTTTATGTATGTCCATTATCCTGTCCTAATCAAACCTCACACACACACAACAAACAGAAAATGCAGTGTTTCATAGTGAACATTGCAATAGAATCACACGGAGCCAGAACAGGACACTTGTTTCCTGGTCTCACTGCAGAGATGCATCAAAGGCAAGAAGCAGACTACAGACCAAGCAAGAACGCTGTGATATTGAAATCCCTTCATCCAAACAACACCCTAAGGGAGAAGAGGATGCTGTAGGCACCGTATAGACAACACACTGAACCAGGAAACATCTTTGGTGTTTGCTGCGGACAGCTGTTGCCTTTGCTCGCTCCGCACTTTCCTCTCTTATTCTAGCAAGAAGACCCTGCCTCTTTCTGGGGGAGCTCATTCCCTGTGGATCAGCGGGGCCTGGCCTTTACTATGCACACCAGTTATGCCTGAAGCCATATCCAGCCTTGGACTTCCCAGCTACTGAAGCCAATGCATTCCCTTAGGAATTTTCTTGGGTTGATCTGAGTTGGATTCTGTCACTTGCAACTGAGATACATCTGTCTAGACAGAGTTATTTTGCTGTAGATTTGGTCATCTAAGAAGGGAACAAACAGCCAAACAACCAATATAACAATTTTACCAATAAAGCAGCTTTGTCTTTTGACCTTACTGCTCAAGAAGAAGAAAAAAATGACCTTGAAATGTTTTTACTTCCCCTTGGTGAAGTAGTCCTTACTACAAAAGAGCAGAGAGTATGCTTGAAAGCAGCCACTAAATTAGATAAAACCAATCATTTTCTTCTTCTGGGAACTGATCCCAGTGAAAGAATGTCCATAGTCCACTGATCTTTTGCTGTTTTTATGTAGGCAAATATAATAGTATGCTCATAAGCAGTCATGTCAGTAGGTTAAGAACTTGTCAAAAATGTCAAAGGAGAAAAATTTTCTTGTCACTTCTGGAGGTACTGAGATATGGGAGTTAACAAAGGAGAATTTCTGCATAGTAGGCTCAAACATCATGTTAATAACAGCAGAAAAAATAAAATTTCAGTACCTCCAGGGGACTCAAGTATGCAGGATTGGATACAACTACTAAACCACAAGACTTAATGTAACAAATAAGATTTATACTCTGCCAGATCAGAGTAAATTTCACAATAATTCAACTATTATCTCCATTCTATTGACCAAAAACCAAAAAAAATCATAATACATCAGAAGGCTAAATCATGCTCTAAAATCACATGTTTGGTGTGATGACAAGGAAATCTTATTTCAGAAGGCCTTACATAGTCCAAATTTCTAACATGTTTTTATTATGAGATTTGTCTTTAATTCATCTGGACCTTAATATCTTCTATGTATAGAGTCATTTGTCTCAAAACCATTGTTTTGGTTTTTTTCCCCCTACTGGTTTGAAATGTCATTTAAAAAATCATATCCTTCATTCTCATATGTGAAGGTCAATTTCTATATTCCTCTGTTTCATTAACTTGGAATGTCTATTTTAGAATCCAAACCATACTATTAAATTATAGCTTTTTAGTATGTTTTAGTACCTGGTAGAGCAAGTCCCACTTTTTTGTTCTTTCCAAAAATTATCTTGGCTAACTTTTGTACATTTATTCTCTTATCTGATGGGTTGTTATGAAGGTCAATGAATAAATACACACTGAACACTTAGAACAGAGCCTAGCATGTGGTGTGCACTCCCTAATGGTGGATATGATTAATTTCCTTCCTTCCCTCCTTCCTTCCTTCCTCCTTCCTTCCCTCCTTCCTTCCTTCCTTCCTTCCCTCCTTCCTTCCCTGGAAGGAAGGAAGGTTCCCAGAAACAGTCACCCCTCAGTTCTCTCTGGTACACTGGAGTCTGGAGCTTCCCTGACTTAATGTCTCAGAAAGATAAGCCTTTGTCTCTTGCTGAGGTGTAGAAAGGAACCAGAGCACTGACTTCTTCATTCATATGCTCTCCATTGCCTGGCTGCTTTCAGCCCCTTCCTCCATTTCTCCTTCATCTAAGAACCTGATGACTGGCTAACTTGTGAGGCTTCCCAGAATTCTGAGCGAGGCACAAATCGTCCACTTCTCATTGACGTGTCCCTCCTTAGGCATTTGGATGTTCATTTTCTCTATTCAGCTCAGTCAGTGCCCTTCCTTAATCAATTTTGCCTCCTAAAAAGCACTGGCATCTCTTGCCCACCAGGGTCCTCTCCCCAGCTCTTTGTCCTTGAAGATGCACACCTGGTTTATTTCGTTAGTGTGGTTTCAGGAGGCAATGGAGTTAATTGTATGCTTTCAATCCACTGTATTTAACCATATGTTTCTTACGGTCCCCAAACATCCTTGTATTGCTACGATTGATGTATTTCTAAAAAACATCATTGGCTTTGGTTTGATAATATTTTATTTTGGATTATTCATCTTACCTTCAAAATTAAGATTGGCCAGTGGTTTTGAAGCAAAATTAGATTAGTATGCTTCATCTAGTGAGCTGGGTGGTCCTTCATCTTTTTTCTATGCTCTAAGAGAGTTTATATGTGAGTGGGTTGATCTGTCTTGCTAAAATTCAGTAGAGCTCAGAATAGGTATTATTTAATGCCCAATTTTCAAATGAGGAGCCCGAGGCAATGACAGTTTAAACAACTTGATCAAAGAGGAGCTCCCAGTAAGTGAGGGATCTAGTTCAATCCTAGGATTGCCTGGCTCCATATTATTCTGGTGTCATCTACCCCTGCTCCCCACCCCCAGATCTCCTAGAAGAAAGAACATGGTATGTCTTTGAGAGTAACATGGAGAAGGGTAAGTCCAGGTTATTCTAAGGATGTAAAATGCACAAGCTGAAATGGCTAAGAGAAACCTAGCTTCTTAGTAAAAATGCTGGTAGAGGTTCTGTAGATTTGTTTAAATAGCCAAGGAAATTTCTGACATTTAGTCCAGGCTTCCTTGGAAGAAACATTTTGGAAATTACTAGTTTAGGTGGCTTGATCTTCAGGTGCAAAGAGAGCATGCCCACACAGCTGAGCGCGCATGGTGATTCCTCACACCTAGAATTTGGACTGCTTTGATAGTGTTTAGGAAAAAACGTCACCAAGGAAGAATAAATATCCTGAATCTCTATCTTTTTGAGGAACTGGATGGGGAGAAGTAAAGAAACAAACTTAAGAACCATTATCTAAGCCATTCTTGTCCAAAGTCAGAGTGACTTGTTTCAAAATCTATACACACAAAACCTAATATGATGAGCCTCCACAGAGGCCTTAACTTGGCTTTTCCCTCCTTCTTTCAGCCAAGCCTTCCACTCAGATGTTCTGTGCTCAATAAGGACAGCGATATTATACCAAATGGATACAGATGCAAACAAAAACGAAGCAAAAATAGTTCATTATGAGAAATTTTAATGATCAAACTAATGAAAATGTTGCAAACTACTGAAATTGTTTTTTAAAGCATCTAAATTGATGCCAAATCAGATAATAAGGACAAGTGAACTGGTTCCAGGATCCCCTGTTTTCTTCTCAAGCAGCAGTTGATGTAGGACATGACACAAACTGGGTCCCTTCGTCCTTTGAACTGGCTGGGGTCAAGGTGGAGAGCATGGGGCCATCAGAGCCTGTGTGGCTTGTGTGTCTGCCCCTGGCTTCACCCAGAGCAGCTCCACTTGTCTCTGTTATATGGATGGGACCCAAAATTTGGTGGTGGGGGCGAAAAAAGAGAGAACTATCATGTTAATGTTTTCTTCCTTTGAACTTGGCTTACTTTCTTTTCAGTTAACATATCCATTTGCTTCTGAGGTTGTTTTTGTTTAGAAACTCATTCATATAACCTCTGTGGGTAAGTTGTGAGAAAAGAGGATATTCTCTGAGAATCCTCAGGGACCAGAAGGCCTGGGTCCCACACAGCAACACCTTCTCAGAGTCATGTGACCTTGAAGGACTCACTTAACCTCTCAGTGCTTCTGTTTCCCAATCTACAGAAAAAGCATAGTAATAATTCCTACCTCATCAGATTACTGGGAGGACTGAATGAATTAATATGCATTAAACACTTAGAAAAACACCTGACATGTAATAATTAGCAGCACATAAAGTAGATCTGGTCTTCCCACCATCTGCCACTAATCTTAAAAAATGTGCACATCTACCTGGTTTCCTAACATTGACTTTGTGATGTGTTCTTTGTTCAGATCACTCAGTGTGTTACTAAGTACATACACAATGTGCTCTGCAGTTAGGGTTACTGAGTCTGACCACTGCCCATGAGGCCTGTGGTTGAAGACTCATGTCTTTCATTATTGTGGATAAAGTGAAGATTCCTGTGGCCAAGATTCTCACCTGACCCTGGTTGGCTAGCTCCCTACACACGTGTG